GTGAGGCCTCAGAATCTTGCTTAACCCGCCTCCCCAGGTAGCCGTCATTCACATCCAGCTTCGGCCTCCCGTGGAAACCACTTTGCATCCCTGGCCCACTCTCTGGGGCCTGGGCCCTCACATGCTCCTCCCCGGCCCTTTCCTTCCAGACTTTGTGAAGACAGAGCGGGACGAGGCCAGCGGGCAGAAGTCCCTGAGGAGCCTCACCAGCCACGACCCCATGAAGCAGTGGGAACCCGCGGGCAGGTAGGGTGGGGCGTGCCGGGGATTCGGTACAAACTGGTGTGGCCCTGCGGACCCCGGGCCCGGGAAGGTAGATGCAGAGAAACCACGGACGCAGGGAACAGGAAGCTCCAGCCCAGGAAAGATGCTCTCTGGAGTCTCCTGACCACAAACCCACATTGCTGGGGAGGTTTGTGTGCCTGCGACAAAGCCTGGGAGCCACTCTGTCTGGGACAGTTCAGTTCAGCTCGCACCGCATGTCCGGATCTAGAGGAACCATGGCAGACAGGTGCAGTCCCTGACTTAGGAACTCGCGGCCTAGTCCGGGAAGAAGCGACTGCAGAGAGGATTGAGGGATTCCAAGTCAACACATGGTTGCCATGTCTTCCGGGGGCCTGGGACATCAGCAGTCATGGGGGTCTGTGACCAACTAAACCCCGTCCTGATACTAACAGGGAAATCACTGGGGGAAAATACACACAGGTTGCTCTTGGCAGAGGCTGAACGGGGATTAATAGGGATGTTAGAGTCTGTATCACTAGGGGACAGCGTCCTCAATCGCAGCATTGCCTCAACCTGCTGCAGTGGTCTTGAGTTCCAGAATCCAGCCAGCAAGTGTTCCCCTCCCTCGGGTCCCCACACTGCCTGTCCCCTTGGCCCTCGCCCTCACCCCACCCAGCCCTGTGCACACGGGAGCTCCCATCTCTAGCCCACCGCCTGGTCCACTTCCAGCCTCCGGTGGTCCCAGCCTTGGGCACTCAAGCACTCCTTTCACCCTTCTCCCACGTGCCCTCAGCAAGTGCATCCTGGCTCCGAAGTGTCTGCTGGGTTCCAGAGTCAGGATCCGTGTAGGGAAACGAGTTCTTTTCCATTTTGACTAGGACGAGAACCAGCACGTATTTCTTAAGCAGGCGTCAGCGGCTGGGATGTGGCTGGGAACCAGGCTGGTTGCGCAGATGGGAGCCGCGAGCGTTCCTTGTAACCTGTACACACAGAACTCGGTTCTCCTGAGGTCACTGCCTGACACAGAGGCAGCGTGCAGCGTGTGTGTCTTTTGGGGCCACCTCGTCTAGGACACCCCCTCCACAGTTTTAAGCAGACTGCCCCCATGCCAGGCGCCAGCCTTGACCTCTGTGACCTTACTCATTTCTCCAAACACCTGCATGGCTATCCGCTCCCTGATATTGCACACACGCCTGTGCAGGCCAGCATGTCCCAGATGAACCCCAGCTTCTTCCATCCTCCCCGCCTGCGCACTGGCCTTCAGACCATCTCGGGACAGACAAAGTCCCTTTTGCCTCAGGGCCTTTGTACGTACTGCCAAGAACATCCTCCCCTCCCTTCTCTCTTACCTGCTCATGTTCTTATCTCAGCTGAAAGACCTCCTCAAACTGGGCCCCAAACCTCCTGTTAGTCTCCCTCTCTACTTCCTGTTACACTCAGACTCCAGCACTACAGAAACACCACTTCTCTCTGCCACTGAGCTGGCGCTGAGCTGCCTGTTGTGTTGTTTGTTTCTCCCATCAAATGTGAGTTCCGAGAGAATACAGCCAGTGGCTGCCTCCCTCGTTCACAACCCTAGTCCCTCCTGGGCCAGGGCCTGGTGGCTAGGCACTCGGTGAGGACTGTGTTGCATGCATGGGTGGGTGGATGGATGGATGAATCCACTGCCCAAGAAGTGAAGGGGCTGAGAGCCTGAGACAGCCCGAGGGATACCAGAGGACATGGTCCTTGGGCTGGTGCTGCCCTCCAGAAGGGAAGGAGTTGCTGAGATGTGACTCTGTGTCTTCCCTGCAGGGCCCCTCCATGCGGCGGCTCCAGCATCACAGAAATCATGAACCCCAACTACATGGGGGTGGGGCCCTTTGGGCAGCCGACGTCCCTGCACGGGAAGCAGATCCTGTCCCCCGACCAGCAGCCCACAGCCTGGAGCTATGACCAGCCACCCAAGGACTCCTCCCTGGGGCCGGGAAGGGGAGACAACCCTCCAACACCTCCCTGCCAGCCGCCCCTGTCACCCAAGAAGTTTTCGTCCTCAACGGCAAACCGGGGGCCCTGCCTCAGGACACAGGAGTCAAGGTGACCGTCCTCATCATTGAGCCCTCTCTCTTCCCTGCTGACAGGGGTCCCCCAGGTTTTCACCCTAGAACGGAGCCTCGAAGGGCAGGGATTTGTGTCTGCTTCACTCACTACTTATCCTCGGGGCCTGGAACATGGCAGGCACTCAGGATGTGTTTGTGGAATCTCCCATGTCCTAATGCAACTTGATTTAAAAAAAGGAAAAGGATAGAAATTTGTAACAATACTGCCCCCAGAAAAGCAACCTCCTGTAAAATCTACATTTATTGAAAAATGTTTCTAGAACCTGTGAACCCTCAGGCATCTTCCACTCCCCGGAGGACACCATGGAACAGGGGTAGGATTTCCGTGTAGAGCCCCTACCAACCTTGAGTTCCCCTTTCTCTTCTCAACCACAAGGGTCCCTGTTCCTTGTGCAACTTCCTAGTGTCCCCTGTGGGGGATGATTAGAAGCTGGAACCAGGAATGCAAAAGGGAGGCAGAGCGGCCAGCCCGCAGAGGGACAGGGGTTTGGCCATGGGCCTTTGGGGAAGCCCAGGGGGTCAGAGAGCACTGACCCGAGTGGAACTGGCCCGGGCAGAGGGGCGGGGCAGCCGAGGAGTGACGTCAGCACTTCCCAAAGCCCCGGCTGCTCTTGAGTGCGCGGCCAAACGAGCAGAGCCGGCCCACGAGCCCCTCGTGGGAACGTAGAGGGAGCCCTGCCCGTTTTTAGTACGCATGGGATGACAGACGGACGTGAAAAGTGCAGGCGTCATTAACAATGACATAGACATGCAAAGTGCCACGAGCGTTGTCTTCCCTCGGGGGGCTGCCTTTACGGGGTTATAATGACGGGGTTATAACGAGGCTTGCAGCCTCTCTCCCCTAACACTTGTTCTTTCTCCTTCTTTTCTCCACGTGGGTTCCCTGGCGGTGCTGCCTGCCTCAGGTTGTAGAAGCCGGCGAAGGGAGCGCTTCACCTCACTCAGCCCCCAGCTCCAACCTTCCCGTGCTCGGCCCGGCAAGGCTGTCCTCTGCATGGAGGAATAGTTGGCAGTTTTGTTCCTTAAGCTTTTCCCCTAAAAAATGAATAGATGAAAGAAAGGAAGGAAGGGAGGGAGGAAGAGAAGGACAGGACAGGACAGCGTTGCCCTAGGGCCCAGCTGTGTCTCTTTATCTCTGGTTTTCAGAATTTGTATTAATATTTTAGACTCTGGTCATTCCCTAAGAAACTCAAGGGGAGGAGAAACAGTCTCAGTTTCCTCCCCTGGAAAGCTGAGGACAAAAGCCACTGTATGGTGGGTATCAGGGTGCCTGTTTGGCAAGGGCCACCTCTTCGGCGACCCAGGGAAATGGAGCTCTAAGCGACCACTAAGAACAAGGAGCGTATTTGTTTAAGCAAATGTTGTTAAGTTCCCAAAGTCAGTGGATCCTTTTGAACACAGATTGGTGGGGACCGTGCTCCCTCCAGCCCCCTGGGCAACAGCGGCAGATGGGCATGCATAGGGAAGACCGCAGCTTCCATGCTGGCCTGCACCCCTCTCCGCCACCCAGGTTCCCGGCTCAGCCTGAGCAAAGGCTGTGGCAAGGGGGGTGTCACCAGCACTGTCGGTGTTCTCCTGCCATTGCCCAGGGCCAAGTGGGGTGACTGGCCATCCTGTTTTGCCCAGTACTGACACAGTTTTGGCACTAAAAGTCCCACATCTGAGGAAACCCTTCAATCCTGGGCAAACAAGGATGACTGGTCACCTACACCTGAGTCTGGTTAGGAGGCGGACTCTGCTCAGACCCTGGCCAGTGCTTTGCTTGTTTAGAGAAGGAGAGAGACTTGCAGTCTCCCGAGTCTGAGAAGTAGAGTCACTTGCCACAAGAATTAACTCTGTCCCCTGGGGACTGGTTCACTGATTCAACAACTGTGGCCTGCCATGGGAGTTGACTTCCTGTTACCTTTGGTCGGGGCTAAGACTTATTTTTGCATTTTTTGTGTTGCCCCCAGTATTCCCCCAGCTGCCCCCGCCTAACCTTCCCCTCTCCAACGGTGACAGAAGCTTGGCCCTAGAGGGAAGACTCACCGGTCTCTGTTGGCTCTTCTCCTAGGGGAGTGAGCTTCAGAATCACAAAGAGGCTCGTGCCAGGGCTCTCTTCTTGGTCTGCCCCCAAATCCCCGAGGCAAGGCCCCTTCTCTCAGTTCAGCCACTGAGAGGGGAGTCAGGTGTCAGGACCTCTTGCTCCTTCATCTGAAAGCTTTTGGTTGTGGCTGTTTGTACACTCCTGCACCCTGTCCCTTAGGCTAATTCAGCGAAGGCCTCTGAGTGTCCCGTGGGGGTGCAGAAGAGGGCCCCGTGCGGAGGCAGCTTGCTGAAGTCCTGGTTCGAGGCCCTGGCATTTCTAGTTATGCACCTGCTTCCTGATCTTTTCAAAAACTAACGGGCAAAATCCCTGAGTGTACAGTCAAGCCCCCTTCGGTGCCCCCTGGAGACTAGCCTTCCCTGAGCCCCATGGCATCTCATTGGCACCTGTGCAAGGACGACATCCCACCTCTGTCCCCTGAGCCCGCGCCTGCTCCCTGCTGAGGCCTTGGAGCGGTGTCTCCACACACGCTCCGTCCGTAACTAACGGGCATCACGGCCCCAAGAGCTCAGGTTCCCAGGGCCCCACATGTCTGCACCATAGCTCCTCGTTTTGCAGAAAGCAGAACCCAGCACGCTCCCCTGGGAGATTCTGCTGTCGGTCAGAAAGTGAAACGTGTTCCCGTTCCTCATTCTCATAACCTGCTCCACAGGAAATCACCGAAAGTGAGAGCAGTGATAAGTCGGAAAACAAACCTGCCAAGACAGCTCTTGCCTGCTTTGGGTGATGACGTGGAATTCTGTCCTTGCCCGTCAGTCAAACAGGCCTGTCTTCTTGTCACTGGTCTTTGTTTCCTCAAGACTCACAAATGCACGAGTTCCCTCTGATTTTTACCGCGACCATTTGCTCCCTCCTATGATGAGTTAAGATGATACAGCGAGTGTTACAGCAGGTGGTTCCAAGGACAAACCGAGTGGCACAGGGAGAGTTGGAGAATCGAAGTTTATTCGCCGGCAGGCTTAGAGGGATCTTGCCACTAAATTCCGAGCCCCCTTTACCCGATTTTTCCCTTATTAAGTTGGGGTGGTCTGGGGGTCTCAGGTGGCTAATGTGCCAGGATATAGGTTAGTTGATATGCCAGGTAATAGGTTAGTTGTTGTGCCAGGTAATAGGTTAGTATTATGTTTTTTTGGTTTTTTTTTTATTTTTATTTTTTATTTTTTTTTATTTCAGCATATTATGGGGGTACAGATGATTAGGTTACATATGATGCCCTTGCCCTCCCTCCCCCCCAAGTCCGAGCTTCAAGTGTGTCCATTCCCCCGAGTATTATGTTGATGTAGGTCTTCCGTGAGGGGTGGGGTCTCAGGTGGCTGATGCGCCAAGTAATAGATGGGGGTTTTCTTTATCAAAGAGATGAGGGCCACACCACTGGGAGCCCTCCAAGAGAGGAGTCCATGTGGCTGGGGATACGGTGTCCTCTAGGAATGCCAGTCCCCTGAGCAAGGTTCTTGTTCGTGGCTGCTTTGCTGTGCCTGGGCCAGTGCCTCACAGGGCAGTGGTTTCCCGTGCGTTTGGCAGATGGAGCTTCTTGAGCTGAGACCCAGCCGTGCACATAAGGGTCAGCAGAATTGCTGGGGGCAGGGGAGAGGCTGGGGAGGGAAGCCAGGAAAGGAGGCCTGGCAGCGCGGTGAGGGCAGGGGCTGTGGGGGGCAGGCTCACCTGGGGAGGGTGGGGGCTGGCACTGCCGGGATGCAAAGGATCACGCTTCCGTTTCTCCTGTGAAACCTCCAGTGGGGTTCCCCTCGCTCACTGATGCCCTGAGGTGAGTAGTTTTTATGGGAAAAGGTCCCAGGCCAGGACTGAGATCGCCCATGAGGACAATACCATTAACACAGTTCTGTCTCCTTTTCTTCATCGAGGTGAAATGGGCATAAGTTTAACTGTTTCCAAATGAACAATCTGGTGGCATTCCGTACATTTCCCAACGTTATGCACCTCTATCTAGTTCCAAAACGGTTTTATCGCCCCAGAAGAAAAGCTCCAGGAAGACTCCCCATGTCTCCTCTCCTGAGCGCACCCTTCCCTGTCTGGCTCTAGGCCCGGCGACCTGGGGAAGAGCGGAGCGGAAGCGCTGCTGCCGGAGGACCTGCCGCTGACGAAGCCAGAGATGTTCGAGAACCCGCTGTACGGGTCCGTGAGCTCCTTCCCTAAGCCGGCGCCCAGGAAGGAGCAGGAATCGCCCAAAATGCTGCGGAAGGAGCCCCCGCCCTGCCCGGACCTGGGGCTCTTGTCTCCCAGCGTCGCGCTCACCAAAGCCCAGGAGGCCGAGCGCAGCGAGGGGACAGGCAAGCAGGTGCCGGCGCCCCGACTGCGCTCCTTCACCTGCTCGGCCCCCGCTGAGGGCAGGGCGGCCACTGGGGACAAGAGCCAAGGGAAGCCGAAGGCCCCAGCCGGCTCCCAGGCCCCAGTACCGGCCAAGAGGCCCATCAAGCCTTCCAGGTCGGAAATGAGCCAGCAGACGCCACCGGCCCCGACGCGGCCTCCCCTGCCCATCAAGAGCCCAGCCGTCCTGCACCTGCAGCACTCCAAGGGCCGCGACTACCGCGACAACAGCGAGCTCCCGCACCACGGCAAGCACCGGACGGAGGAGGGGCCGCTCAGCAGGACGGCCGCACAGGTGTGTGCTCGGCTGCACGTGGGCTCACATGCACGTGTGTGTGCCCGTGTGTGTGCACATGGGCGTGTCATCGTCCTGGGAGCTGCTCCATGCGGAAGGGCTGGAGTCAGGATTTGAACCCAGGCCTCTGTGTTCCCCGACCCCCGACCCCTGACCCTGCATCGCCTCTGCGGCAGTTGTTGAAAGGGGCGAAGGGGGGGCTGTGCCCCGTGTCGGGCCTGGAGGAATAAAGCTCCAAGAAGAAAAGGAACCTAGATCATTTATAGTTCATCGTCACCATCATTAGCATCAGTACTTAAGCTTTCCCCAGCGTTTTAGAGACTTCAGGCACAGTATCCCCTTCCTTCCTATAAAATAGATTTCTTTTTATAGGAAATGAATGAGCAAATGAGTATAGCAAAATGAATAGTGATTAGGAACAGACTCTGGAGCCAGACTGCTGGATTTAAATCCTAGCTCTCCTGTGCTGGCTCTGGGCCTTGGGCCTCAGTTTACTTATCTGTAAAAAGGGGCTATTAATGGCACCTGCTTCATAAATGTATAGGGAGAATTACATTTTATAGACTATTATGTATTATTACTATACATTATCATTTATATAGAAGTCATATTTATGTTATACGGTACATATAATTTTGTATATTATCTATGCTAGATATACATATTGCCTATATGTATATATTAATGTATATTAGAATATATGTGAAGTGCTTAGAACGGCATGTGCTGGCTCTTTTCTGCTGTGTGTCCAAGGAAGCCCAGCCTAGCCCATAGTATACGGGGACGCGGGGCCACTTAGTTAAATTTGGCTGGTGACATGAGCCCTGACAGCCCTTCTGTTCTTTCCCACAGTGAAGCCCTTGGTGAGCTGCTGGCGAGTCGGGAGCCCAGAGGAGCAGTGCGAAGGCCCTCGGACCCTGGCCGGGCCCTCTGGCTGGCTCCTCCCACCAGCTTCCTACGCAAGGCTTTGTGTTTTTCAGCAAAGGGCCCGGCTTCCGTGTGGTCCAAGGAGCGCGCTGCCTGCAAAACTTGGCATCAGATGCCAAGGTTTAGAAGGACTATGTGCACCAGACAGGCAACAGCCCACCCGGGTCCCCAGCTTGACCTTGGTACTTGGGACCCCAGTGCCTTGTTTGGGTCGCCATTTTGAAGAAAAGAACTGAAGAGCTGATTTGAAGGTGGAGATATAAATAATAATAATATTAATAATAATACTGGCCACATGGATCGAGCTCTCACCATGTGCCAAGTGCCGTGCTAAGTGCTTTATGAACATTGCGTCAGGACGACCTCGGGAGTGGAGTCTCCAGCCAACTAAAACCACGTGCCCAAACCCAACGGTTCAAGACAGCATGTGTCCGAGGGGTTTGGACAAAGCATTAAGAAGGCCAGCGCCCACCTGGAGCCAGACAAGAGTACAAAGATTCTGTCCTATCCAGCGTCAGTGATGTCAGCTGCTTTGGCTAAAGCCCCAGGGCGGGGGTGGGGTGGGGGGTTCTGGCACAGCTGGGCGAGGGCAGGGACCTGCCCGGCTTCTCGGTTCCTCCGTGGAAGGTGCAGGAAAATCAGCTCCTACCCCCTGGCAGAGAGATCTGGCCTCAGCCTGGGCTGCAGATGCGAGGCCCGTGCTGGGTTCCTCACACCCTCCTCGAGGTGGGCAGCCTGCCGTGGGCTGGGCCGAGCCCCTGCCACTCATCCCATCGTGCTAGTAGAGGAGCCTTGGCTCTGAAAGCCGAGCTCCCCGGCCCGGCCACCAGGGAGGACAGGCCTCTCAGCCCCAGGCTCTCAGCGTAGCGCAGCTTTTTTCCTCCAAGCTCTGTGGCTTTCGGCTCTGCTTCCTTGGATTCTAGGAGAATAGATTGGTGATGTCCTTCCTTGTGCTGCTTTTTGACGTAACAGTTAATGTAGGGAACCAAGTCCAGATGTGTGTGTGAGTCCAAGAGAACGGGTACGCGCCCCACATTCCCACAGGTGTTGTCTGCGTGACCAATAAATTGTGCCTTTCTCACTCAGCTCCCGTCTCTGTGGCATTTTTTTCTCCGACATTCAGAGCTGCAGACACATTTCTAGACTGCAGGGCCCACAGAGAGCTGCCCGGGGAGGGGAGGCAGCTGAGGTTCGTGGTGGTGGTGGCCGGCAGGCATTGCCCTGAGCGGATGGGCCACCACAGAGCCAGCTTGGAGCTGGGCCGGGGCCAGGAGCAGGGGTGGGCATCCTCCATATGCACATCTTCCTGGACTGTGAGCGCCCTGCAGCCACCTAACTCCCAAAAGCATCCCCCAGACACCTGCTGTCTTGCAGCCCACAAGCACTTGAGAGCATGCCCCAGCCCAGAGTCCCAGAGGCACGGCACAAGGTATGGTGGCCCTAGCTCGGGCTGCTCGGCCTCTGCTTCTGTCATAGACATCAGGCCTGGGCTCCAGGCAGAGCTTGAGCGAGCAGTGTCCTTGAGCAGTGTCCTTGGCAGCAAACCATTCACTGCCCAGCCACAGTGGCACGTGGAGCCCACTGGGACCGGTGCTCCTCACCTCTACTCAGCTGGGGTCCCTCACCCTGCAGGCTCACTTCCTGGTCTCCATGTGGAGCCCAGCCCAAGTCCCCAGGCCCCAGCCTTTTGATTGAGAGCAAGGGCCAGGGTGGAGGGGGAGCTGGGGACACCCAGACATTCTTCAGGCCCTCCATCACCAGCACCGAGAACTGAGAACCAGGGCACGATGCCCGTGGCTCCTGGGGAACACACTAGCCGCCAGGGTGGGCTGGCCGGCTGCCCCAGGTGCCTGCAAGCTGCTCGCCCACAGGGAGAGCAAAGAGCTCGAGCCCCCATGCCCGCCTGGGATGGGCGTCTAGGCACTCCCCACTGTTTTGCGGGTTCCCAGGAGAAGCAAGCAGGGAAGTGGCAGCATGGGGCGTGCCTGTGCTCACATCTTCTGCTCTGACTTCTAATCACCTGAGCAAATGCAGTGCCCTTGTCTCTCTTCCCTGACAGTCCAACCGAAGGCTGCTTTGAGGACCCGGCTTTGCACGCGGACGGACAACGGGAGCCCTCCCGCTGCCCAGAACCAGACACGCTGTGACTTTAGAAATTGTCATCCTTGTCCTTTCAATCTCTCAGCCCTGCCCCTACCCCAGAGGTCCCTGAGCACATTTCTCCTTGGGCTCTGGGCTACCACCATCTCCTGGGGTCCACTCCAACCAGATCTCTCTCCTGTCTCTCCTTCCTGACAATTCTAGGCCCCCCAGAAACCCAGTCCCCGCCATGGCAGGGTGAGGGAGGAACAGACATTCTCACCTCTTTGTCACCTAAGTGACTCACCTCCATCTTCACGAAGCTCCATAACCAAGAAGGCAGATCAATTATCAAGTTTCCTCACCGAAGTGTCCCCTGCCCCTAAAATGAATTCTATCTCCCCTGGGACAGCAGATGCTGCTACAGTCACTTTTTTTTCAAAAAACGAATGTTTCCTTCTTTGCATGAATACACGAAAGCTGGTTGGCGGTGGCAGATTCTGTGTCAACGAGGAGGTGTTGTTTTCATAACAGTCAGTCCCCAGTAGCAGCTCGTTCCCGGTCTCTCACCCCTTGGGTGGAGGCCAGTGGCTGCGGCCCCTCACCACTCTTGGGGATGGGTCAGCCATGCCAGCTCCTCCTGCCTCCTGGGATTCAGATGTTTATCCACTTGTTTCCACCCCAATAGGAGGGGAATTAGTGAGTCATTCAGAAAAGCTCTCTCCCCCAGCTACCTTCCCTAACCCCAACCTACCGGGTTCTCATCTTCACATATTCTTAAAATAGCTCCTTTCTCTGGCAAACTAATTTCCATGGAGACCCAGCTATGGGAAGGCCCAGAAGCTTCCTGCAAGGCAGTGAGCTCAGCTCTCAGCCTTCACTCCAGCAGAGACCCTTTATAATGCAAATGTCTGGTCTCACCCCACAGATGCCCCCCAATTCCACTTTGGGGATCTGCACTGGCCGGGGCAGCACTGGCAGGTGGAGCCGAGGTGCAGACTGTACTTTCTCGTTGTTTTCAGCTGGGCAGCGGGTCTGCACCGCTCAGTTCTCTCTTAGGCCACAGCAGACCGAGCCGCTGGGCATCAGTGAGTGCTCTTATACCAGGGTGTACAGCTCATGACCTTCCCTCATGCTCTCAATGACACACATGCTGATGGCAGGAGTCAGAGCTTGGGGGGGTCGGCACTTTTATTGAAAGAAGCCTGGGGAGAGGGCGTATCCTGGGCTGCAGTACCTGACAGGATGGGGTTTAAATATATTGTCTGTTGTTTCCTGAAACTATGATCTCACACAGGCCATTCAGCTTTTCTGAGCCTCAGTCTCATCTATAAAATGGGGGACTGTACCTTCTGCCTGGTGTAGTTGGCAAGGATTGAAGGAGACCGTGTCTACAATGGCTGCCCTTGTCTGGCTCAGTGCCCAGTGTGTTGTGGGGGGTCCATTGAATGTCATCCCCGTCCCTCTCCCTGGGAGACAAGGGTCACTTCTGACCTGGGCTCTTGTGGACCATAGGAACATCCGAGAAGGTGAAGGCAAGAGTGTGAGTAAATAAGTGAGGCAGGAAATCCAGGGGCAAGTGGAGGCTGTGAAAGCCCTTAAAGGTCAGGGAACCAGTTGAGGCCAAGTGGGCTCATCGAGGCCAAGGAGGGGCTCATCGAGGCCCATGGGCTAGGTCAGGCAATCAGCATCTACTGGCATCTAGTGGGCAGGGGCCAGGGATGCCACTGATCAGTGAACAGGGCAACACTTCTTTCCCCCAGTCCTCGGATGCCTTTTACCGTCTGCCACCAGGAATCCTGTCCAGCCGCTGATGGACCAGAGCGAAGCAATGTGAGCCTGGGACGAGCATGCCTCCACTTCACAGGTAGCTCCCGGAGGAACTCACCCACCGGGAACCGGACAGGGGCTCTCAGTCTTGGCACAACTGACACTTGGGCAGGATCAGTCTTTGGCATGGGGCTGTCCCGTGCACAGTTCAGCAACATCCCCAGCCTCTGCCCACTAGATGCCAGTGGCCCCGAGACAGTCATTGCTAAATGCCCCCAGTGTGGAGGGGGTGGCAGAATCACCCCGGCAAGGAAAAAACGCCCGGGAACAACTCCCCCGAAAAAAAGGTCCCCGGGGTGAAAGGGAAGAAAACGAATCCGAAAACGAAAAAAAAAAAAAACCGGAAAAGGGGAGGACACAGCTGTTCCCCATCTGTGCAATGTCACCAGGCCAATGGGCTCCTTCTGTTTCAAGGGGCAAAGACGGAGGGCTGCGGGGGTCACCTCAGGAGTGGCTCTGCCACCAGGCTGCATGGAAGTGAGGAAGCCTTGGCTGTCAGGACGTGGGAGGCCCCCTGAAGCCTGAGCCAGCCCTGGGGCCCTGGCATCTTGTAGGCCCATTGGAAGCCCGGTAGATCCCACGGCGGTGTCCACTCTGTGGCTTCTCCCCTCTGTTTTGTCCCCAGTTGGTCCTCACCCTCTGCGTAGGAGGCCCTCTCTTGGTACGTCCTGCATTTAAAACTGCCAGGAACACTGGTTTGGGGTTGGTAAATCTCCACCTGCCTTATTAGCTTGGGTTCCCCAGAAACAGACTCTGAGACGAAGATTCCAGTGCAAGCGAAGTGTTTGGGAGTGACCCAGGAAACACTCCAGTGCCGAGGCAGGGAGGGAAGGAAGCCACAGAGACGCCCTTCTGAGCAGGGAGCCAAAGCAGGTAGCTGCTGTGGCCAGCTGGGCTCACCGTGCAGGCGCCAGCATCGAGCACACACCTGTGCCACGCCGTGAGGAGAGAGCTGGGTGCGCGCTGGTGTGTCTGCTCTTATGAGTCACAGCTAAGGGCTGCCTCGGAGAGGGGTGTTAATTCCTCAGCCCTCCTGGCCTGTGTAGCAAAGCCGATTCTCAGGCCTAAAGAGCGGCAGGCGGGAGTGGGCTGCAGCACCGTGCCTTGCGTAGCTTTGGTGCCACCGGACAGAGTTCTAGTGCCAGGCCACTGGCTGTCGGGGCTGGGTCTAGAAGAAAGGAAGGATGGATGGATGGATGGATGGAAAGGACGTGAGCAGGTGAATGGAGGGTCAGGCAAAGACGTCTGCCCGAAGCTGCTTGTTTGCTGAGTGCAAAAGTCTGCTGAAAACAGCTGACCTGTGTGGACGTTGTTAAAGAAATTAGCAAACGGCCCTGACCCTTTGCACGTGTCCTTGGAAATAAATACGGGGAGGAACGTGGCTGAGGGGGCCATTTTCTTCTTCAGACTTTGGCTTCTCCCCGTCTCTCTAAACACTATGTGTTTCGAGTAATTATTCATTCCTTCGCTACCGAGCTCACGAGCGAAAAGCAGCCGCAACAAGCGGTGACCCCAACGTGATTCAGGAATCCGCGCGTCCAGTGAAGTTTTTGTCGTCCAGACTACGAGGGGAATCAGCCCGGTAAGGGACAGTCCCACCCACTGCT